ATTATTAGTTAGCACATTGATTCATTGTGAAGCTGTAGAACTCTGGTAGGAATGACCCGATTTTAAAAAAGCTAATCCTGCTGCAGTTCAGCACAAATCACCAGAGCTGCTTTGTTCCTGATTACAGATAGTCTGCATGAGATTAAAAAGCTCTTCTTTAATGATTTTCCAATCTGACGCTTTGGTGCAAAATTCCAAAGTTTGTCTAAATATTTGTAAATCTGCTGAGTCAGCGCTGGAGGACTGATCTGAAGACACAGCCTGGTTCATGACTGGCATGATTCTGTTATGTTCTGGTTAATGTGCAGCCATGTGTTGCTCATGGGTTCTGCATCTGTCTCGTGATGTGCGTCATGTTTGTAAGTTTTCAGTGTGACCAGTTTTATCCCACTAAACCTTAAGTGTGTCTGTTTCTACTACAAAGTGAGGACGGTTTGTGACAGTTGCTAACAAAGTGAGGTCTTTGATGTAAAGTGAGGACCTCTTCAGTGTCCTGACTTTATTTATTTATTTATTTATTTTTTGCAGCTCTACTGCGCTATACTAGTTAGGTTTAGAGGTATAATGTGAATTAAGTTTTGGTTCTGGTTAGAGTTAGGAATCGACTAGTAATGGTTAGTTTAAAGGAAAATATGGATAGAGAGAGACTCTCTCTCTCTCGCTCTCTACCTCTACCTCTTTGGACCATTTCTGGGATACAAACTAAAGGCCTGTCCTAACATGGTGGAACTCCATTTTTGGGTTGGGGGTTAGGTATTCTCACTCTCTCCGTGAGTAAACTTGACATGAGAGTGTTGTCTAACTATCGTGGCATCACACTTCTTGCCCTCCCCAGGAAAGTTTAATCCAGGATGTTGGAAGGGAGGCGCCGATTGATTGTCGAATCTCTTATTCAAGAGGAGCAGTGTGGCTTTCGTCTAGGGATGAAAAGATTCCTCGAATAATTCGAGTAATTCGATTACAAAAAATCCTCGAGGCAAATTTATCTGCCTCGAAGCTTCGTTAAAAAAATTCATACYAATGAGCGCACTTTCGTTCGTCCGGACACAATGCTACGATGTTAGCGCTTCCGCTAACAGTTACACTGTCGTCGCGTGTATGCTTGCTAAGCGTTATATTTAGCTTTAGAAGAAGACGAAGAGTGCTGAAACGAAGCGCTCAGAAAAYGACAAATTATAAAAAGCATGGGAACATTTAAAACTAAACAGAAAAGACGACAGCGCGCAATGCTCTGCACGTCCTCGATGTTTCTGCACCGGACATGTACCAAACACGTCCGGAGTTAACAACAGGTATCGTTCACGTTCCCTTTGGTTACCTAAAT